AGATTGTACGATTTTATGGGTTTGAGGGTAAACAGGTCTGCTTGTGACTATTTAGTATTTATTCCAAGCTTACTAGTACTTATACCAGTATTCTCGTCTGACATACCTCTCCATATGCACACATAAACCAGTTTGCAACAAATGCGCTTGCACCTGCCATTCCTTCATCATTCCAAAGACATCACAAAAAGAAATAAATACACCAATACATATTTTTAATAAATACCCAAATGTACTCTCCACTAAATTGAATTGTTTATTTTACAAATATTGAAAAATATGCACAAAATAGCAAATAAGTACGTGCACACCACTTGTTGTGTCATATTCCAGATTTGTAACTACAAACATGACAAATAAAGCATGCTGGAAAGTGCATCACAATTGGTATTTCAAATCTAGGCCGGTACTTAGAGGTCAAAAGGGGATATGAAAAAAATGTGTATCTCGAAAAGTTCCTATGTACAGTGTTTTGTAATTGGAGTTACCACTGTATTGGATTTTTATGACTTCATTGTCTGTCAATCAGGGACATTAAATATATTTGGTTTTTATGTGGTTTTTATTGGTCAATCAAAGGTGTAAAATATTGGGTTTTTATGAATACACTATCTGTCAAACAGGGACGTGAAACTCACGTTAGCCCAATGCAGTGGAACACTCAAGAAAATGCAGGATTTACTGATGGACCAAAGCCCTGGAATAATGTGGGGCCAAACTACAAGGAAGACAATGTGCAGGTTTGTATCTTTTTTTCTTGCTGTGGCAATATTTTTCATGCATCAGTGTAGTTATTTTACTATGAACTTTGCACTTTTAACTTTCAGGATCTATATTGTCTGCAGTTTTTATTTTATTAAACATTTATGCTATGGTTTTACATTTTATGTCATGGCTAAATAAAACAACTTATCACTTGAAAATTAAAAAAGTTAGTCAATTGCAAAAGATTGGTTTTGTCTTTACTCATTTTTATAGGAATTTTTCTTTCCTTATTTGATCCATAACACGTTCCTGGATGTGTTAGTATTTCTAACAATAATTTAAATTAAAAATCTAACTTACTTAGTTAAGGGATGCAGATAGTCTGGAATTAGTTGACTAGGGAAAAACTATAATTCCATTTTATTTGTTAAAATGCAATGTGGTTGCACATTGGCGTTTGTCTTTCAAACAATAACCCGCTTACACATTTGAAAAAATGGCAGTTGTGAAACAAAAATATAATATGCTGAAATTGTCATTTTCTTTTAAGTGTGGTTACTTATGAATTATGTTTTCTGTGTGATTGCAATAACACAAATTTGTTACTTAATATGTTACTTTATTACATGATTTTTGTTTGGGCCTTTCAGGTGGCAGAAGCTCATAATGCTAATACACCATTGGATGAATTTATTTCACTTAGCAAACTAAGAACTAAGGAATCGTTCCAGTGGGGAAAAACAAAGGTACATTTAAATAGTTATGCCTCTTGTTAGTTCATAGCTTAATGAAATGGCAAAATAAGTTATTTTCATTTCAATATTTCTATAATACTATGATTGTCTGTTGTAGTTGTAGATTTGAATTTATTACAATTCAAGTCTGATTTAGCGTTGTTTTTATGAGTAGGTTTTAAACAGATTAGGTTTATAGATTTAAAGTTTTGTTTATAAACTTAACACTATTTTATTTTCCCAGGTTGTTTCTCCCAATGATGAGCTCCTCTTGTTCACCCGAAGAGCCACTCGCTTCTCTTACTTCTTAACCATAATAAATTTTAGCAATAATAAAACATATGTAGCACCTCATAATTTGGAAGAAATGGGTGTCAAAGCTGAGGGTAAAGTAGTGTATCACTCCAAGGACATGAAGCTGGATGAGAAAATTAGCTTCCAAGACAAAGGGCTTCAGCTAAATCCCTACAATATTGTTGTAGTGGAGTATGCCTCAGATGAATAAATAGATCCATTTCTAAAACTTAGAAATAACAACCCACCCTCTCCCTATTTGTACAATTTAGTCGTGAAGAGTTATTCTGATAGCTGTAATGTCAAAATGACATGTATTTTTTAATTTGTTAGAATATCTGTTTTGATAACTTTTTTCTCTCTCTTCAATTTACAAAGAATTAACTCATTAAAATTATGAGTGCGCACTAGATGGAAATGTGTTTTTTTGTCAACTTTTGTCTGTTTGGATACTGTATGCCTGCTAGGTTGCTAATACTAATACTAAACTATTTCATCTAAATTACCGTAGTTTTTCTTAGGTCTCATCAGCCCAGGCAATATCCAGAAAAGTTTGCCCCCCACTACCATCACACAAATAAGAATCTACATAAACAGACGTATTGAAGTCAAATTCAATGAAATTAATAGTTGGATACTAGCCATATTAAAGAATAATAACTAGGCTATATTCTCTTACCTTCTCCCGGGTAGAAGTTACAAGTAACCTCCCCCCTTCACCTTGGGAGATAGACGCAAAGGCGTGAGTTTTTTGGCTTCAGGTAGTCAGGTCTACCCTACTAGTCTTTTGCGCCGGGTAGAGGCAAAACTCCATATCACTCTGGAAGGGACGGAACATGTGGGGCTCGATATTGTTGTCTTCTCAGACTCAAGATCTGCTCTTGAGATCTTGGAGAAGCGACAGGGTACCACAAGCTTGGTCGACGTCATTCACAACGACATATGCAGACTCGGTGAAATAGGGTGCAAGGTTGAAATGCAATGGATACCAGGGCATGTCAACATCAGTGGCAATGAGATAGCTGACACTCTGGCGAAAACCGGGGCAGCCCAGCCTCAGCCAGAAGTACCAATGACTTTCTTGGGAGTCAAAAACTGGCTGGCGGATCACTTCAGGCAGAAGTGGTACAGGCAATGGGCTGACAACACGACCGCCAGAGGCGTCTATTCGAACTTGCCTACTCCTAGCAAACAAGACCCATGGTGGGGGTTAGGTCGTAGAGTGCAGAGTCTAGTAACGCAGATGCGCACCAAGCACTGCCCCCTGCGCACATATTTCTGGAGGTTGGACAACAACAGAGATCCTACCTGCCGGCACTGCAGCCTGGCCCCAGAGACCTTAGAACATCTGTTGACGGAAAGTCCCGCACTAGATCTCCCGGGGGAAGCCAGGGCGGTTGGAGGATCCTTTGTGAGGGAAATGTTGTATGGCTCAGCTCAACAGATGGAGTTGATAGCCAATTTACTAGCCAGGGTCATAAGAGAGTAATCTCAGACCTTCACCAGAATATGTGCGTTAGTTAATAGTTGGATACTCTAGCCCACGGGTCTCAAACTCGCGGGCCATAAGGGGCCCACAAGCCCATATTTTGCTGCCCGCACCTTTTCCCCATTCTCATATCAATAATGTGACCCACCGCGACGGTTTTAGTCGAATCTCACAGACTATTCTAATTCTGATTTTAATTATGTTTGTATAGATTTGGTCATTGATTATAATGGTAAAAAAACATAAAAAATCGGCCTTAAAGTTTTTATGTTACAGCATTTTATGAGACAAACATGGCGAGTGCGGTTTTGAAAAAAGTTTAAAAAGTCAGTGATAGTGGGTAATGCACAACCATAATTGTGTAAATCGTAGCAACTTGACGCAGTATCAAAGAATCCCAATTAAAATTGCTGCAAGTGTTTACGAGTGAGGGAAATTCCGAGCCTGACATCTTGGTCACTTTCAAAATAGGGTTAGTCTAAATGGCCTTTTCTTCGATAAAAAATCAAAATTCATTCGCCCTACAATAGCATCTTCCTTTGCATCAATAATTTATAAATTTTGCCTGCTCCTGCATGCAGTTTGAACACGTTTTAGCCTTAATGGAGAAGGATGGGATGGTTGTTCCTGTACTAAATGATCCCAAATGGCTCATGGATTTGGCTTTTCTTGTTGACATTACACAGGAGCTGAATGTAATCAACAAGAAGTTACAAGACCAGGGATAGCTTGTCAGTGATGAAAATTTCAGGGCATTCCTGCACAAAACTTGTGTTATGATTCTTAGAGAAACCTCTGCCATTTCCCAACATGCAAAGTACTCATGGACTTGGCACACCCTGTTCAGTATTAAGTATACAGATTCCATTGGATAGCTACAGGAAGAATTTGATCACCTTTTTAGACTTCAAAACAGAAGGCGACTATTCAACTTTTTGCTGACCATTTCTCCTTAATTTGGAAGATGCAAACTTGCGCTTCAAAAATACTTCAAATGGAGCTAATTGATCTTCAGTGCAATTCTAAGTCCAGGGAGGTGAATGAAAAAACAATAATAAGCATGGACAATCTATGAGAGCATTGCCCTCCACCTTCCTTGAGTTTTCCAGGTTGTTCAAGCGGATCATGTGCCTTTTTTGAGAGTACCTAACTATCAGTGTGAAAAGCTCTTTTCCATTATGAACTATGAAATTTAACAAGTCAAAGTTCAGGGCCAAACTTACTGATGAGCATCTTCAAGCTATACTGAGGGTGTCAGTTGCTTCCTCGCTCAAGCCAAATTTTGCTCAGATGTGTAAGAAGAAGCGCTGCCAGATCTCTGGCAACAATGAAAAGGAAGAAAGTGAAGCCTAGTTCTTGAGAAGCATTAATGTTTTTATTTGTTATTAAAGTAAGGCTCAGCAGATTGTAACAGTTGTACTTTATTGACTTCGTAATCGCTTTTTGTGTGTGTGTGAAATATTTGATGCGGCCATTCTCACTCAGGCTCTACCTCCTGTGGCCCCCAGATGATTTGAGACACCTTTTCTAGCCAGAGAAAATAGTTGATTTGTTAATAAATAATCATGTGGGTGTAATAACAATTAAATGATAATTTCCTAAGGGATTTGTACGGTTCCAATGGATTCTTTGACTTATCCCGACCACATAATGGGTATGTTACTATATTCTTACTGAATATATAATTTAGATTTTAAAACAAAAATTTGAGTAAAAGACCCTAGTCCGTACGTGCTAAGCCGCGGGTCATTGAAAGTTTGACGGGGGGGGGGGGGGGGGGGGGTGTAAAAATTGCTTAAAGTTAAAGCTTAAAAATTGTTGACGTATTTAATGGACGCCCCCTAACTGTAAAAAGGAAGTTACTGTTTGCACCACGACAGCTAGATGTAACATTGCAAATAAAATTATGAAAGTACCGTAGTATAGTATTATTAGTATATATTTTGCGTCGCCCCGGGAGACTTGAAAATGTCGCCCCTAATTATATATAGAAAAGGCAGCCCTGGGCTGGGGGAGACTACTAGTACTTCTCTGCGGAGTCCACATGCATCGCGTACAGGATGAAGCGGGAAGCAGGCGCAGTACTTACTCAGTAGTATAAAAGATGATTTTTGGTGCCCTTTGTCTTAGGAGTACACCCGATTTTATAACTTAATCCACTATTAATAATTAAGGTTCTTGCAAAAGACGATTTTGGTGGCCCCTGATGTTGGTTCAGAGCAGCTAAAGTTATATACAGGCAGAAGCCTAGGGGCAGACGACTCATCGGACGCCCAAGGCTGAGAATACTGAGATGGATCGATGATGTGGAGATGGATATACACCAGTTGGGGGGTCGTGCATGGAGGCGGCAAGCCATGGATCGCTCCGAATGGAAGGATGTGGTGGAGCAGGCCAGGGCCCTAGATGGGCTGTAGCGCCACCGATAATGATGAACAATAACTCCAACAGGCTCACCATCTAGCCTACGCCTACTAGAATTTCTACTACCGGTACCTGGTACCATTATATAACAATAATTTTTAAAAAAAGATTGTTGAATGTATGAAAACTGGCATTTTTATGTTTTGCATAAATATCGTAAAACAAAAAGTTAAAAAAAAACACCAAATAAATCAAAACAAAAGCGGCATTAAAAATATTTGAAAGAACAACATGACATGGGTTTGAAAACTGTTAAGTTACAACAAATATATATATATATAATTTGATTATGGATTTGTCACTTAGGTTGTCAAGGTATTTTTAGGCGCATTTCCCGATTTATAACGAAAGTCTCCACCATTGTTTCGGAAAACTCAAGAAGAGCTCTTAGAAATTCCATTCACGTTTTTCCTTTTCTTGTTTTCGGCAACTTCCGGATCCTCGCTAGCAGCGCTTTCATAACATTTTTTGGTCCTGAAATTAAACCAACAAATTGATGTTTTGTTCTCTAAATCTAATGGAAACTTTCTTTTAATAGTGTGATAGTGATTAATTTATTAATGTTGCTAATTTAACAAAAATAATTTGGATTAGGAAGATGCAGATACCCCTTGCCACTTTTCGTTTTTGTCTCCTCTGCAACTGTTTGTCTTTGTTTCCCCTGCGACTTCTGATTATTTATTTTTCCAAATCACAACTTTGTGACCCTTAGATATCCGCCCCCCCCCGGCAGCCACATAACATGGGTTGTATGACCCACGTGACGGCTCTGAGAATATGAGGACACCCCGTAGATTTCATCTTGCTTATAATTATAAATTTACTAAGGCACATCCAAAACGTCTATTGGCCTCTTTTTTTTCACTGCTTCTGGACCAAAGTGCCATTGGGCATTCAATTCAATGGGAGCCAGCCTCTCTCTCTCTCTCTCTCTCTCTCTCTCTCTCTCTCTCTCTCTCTCTCTCTCTCTCTCTCTCTCTCTCTCTCTCTCTCTCCCCGCCCCCCAATAATAATAATACCGGTATTCTTTTAGAACATACGATGCTTTTTGACGTGATATACTTCGTTTTTATTTATTGCACTTAACTGAGGATGGACGTGTAATCTCACTTATCTCGAGTTGGCAATGGCCCCAAACCCTTTCACCACCCGCTGCTAGACCGGCGACGGTCAGAGCAGAGCGGTGAGTGGACCTTACCAAATGATGTCAATGACATTGAACAACGTGATGATGCCCAGCAAGGCGGCACTGGCCGTGGACACGTAGTAGGCCCAGTCCAGATCAAAGTCGTACTGGTACGGCAATGGCGGCTTCACTTGGAACTTCCGGTTACACGCATACATTATAAGTGCCGCTGTCATGCCGCCGGCTGGAAGTAGAACAAAAACAGTGTCTCGATCAACATTATGTCAACGAAAGAGCGAGGCACTGCTCGGAACGCTAGGCTAGAATTGTTCATGGTTTCTTTCAAGCCTCAAGCATTAATGAATGTTACTTTAGAATTTAGAATAAAACCTCCAGTCACTTAAAAGAAATTCACACAAACATCACCATTTCAGTCCACTTCGTCGAGACACTTTTAACATTGTTTACAGCACAACTTTCAACTTGTGCCAATGTTTATAACACAACTTACAATTTGTGACCAAAAAAGAAAAAAATGTTAACACCACAAATCTCAACTTGTTACAAAACAACTTTCAACTCGTGGCAATATTACAGCACAACTTTCAACTTGTGACAATGTTACAGCTCAACTCACAACTTTTGACAATTTATAATGACCTCGGTTTATAAGTTTGTTATATTGTGTTGCATGGAAGGGGGTCGGTAGAGAGCAATGTCATATAACAATTCTTTTTATTTGTTTTTTAGAAACATTAATTTTGTGTGTGCGAAATTTCTGCTTTTCAAACGACATTAGCGTAGAGTATTAAAAACCAAAATGTATTTTGTTGCTCACAATGATGAGCACATTTTTTTGGATAACTGTGACTTTATTATGGTTTTTTCGGGGAGGGGGTTGCTATTAAAAAAAAAAAGAATCTTATATATACCATTAAGTGCAGTGTAGTGTCAATGGAAATGTTATACAACGTTATAAGGGGTAAGGGTGGGTAAAAAATGTCATATTTTTGTGTTGCATAAAATGTGCACAACTCAAATTACAACTAGTGACAACCGTCTACAAGAGGACTTAAAGTTTGTTTTCATATTGAACACACAACTTACAACTTGTGACAATTTTTACAACACGACTTACAACACGACTTACAACTTGTGACAATTTCTACAACATGACTTACAACTGGTGAAATTGAAGAATGCTATGAAGTGTCGGATGCAGCATTTCCGGTTGACTTTGATGTTGAAATGATAGAGACACGCCAAAACGAGGGCGGTGAGACACGTGACCATGCCAACAATGGCCAAGCCGACTGCAATGAACTGCCATTGGGCCGCTGTGGGAGAAAGTCAAAGAAAAGATTGATGAACTAATCACTACAACAATGCAAGAGTCGACAGTCTTCTTCATTCTTTGAACACCAGGAAAGCAATACGTTTTAATGTTTGAATTGTAAATGGAGGTCCCGTGTGAGGTGGGGTGGTGGTGGTGGTGATTGGGCTGGCACCACGAGACAACCGCACCCACGCGACACCAACCCTAGTGACGCGTCTATGGCAGGGGTCGGCAACCTTTTGAGAGGGAAGAGCCAAAAGTCACAATTTACAAAATTTCCCAGTTTTTAAAGAGCAACTAACATTTTTATTTCAATATAATCATTAATATTTGCGCATGGAACTGGAGAGCCACATCTTAACATCAAAAGAGCCGCAGGTTGGCGACCCCTGGTCTATGGTAATCAAATGTTGGCACGTATATTTTACCTCTGCTTCGAGGTAGGGCAGGTCAACTATATGTGAATGTTAAACATAGATAGTATTATCATCATTTCGTTACATCAAACGTCATATGTGTGTCAACTAATCGAGTACAACACATTATTAGTAAATATTTGGACATAACACACCCGGGTTCCTCCTTTACGTACGCCACGCTCCGGAAGGCAAAGGGGGGGGGGGGTGATAAGAAAGCGTGATAGAAAGGGGGGAGAGGTAAAGGTGACGTCACACCTTAAAATTTTAAAAAATCCTATTAAAAAAACTGAAATTGGAAGTGATGGGGAACGTTCTGTTTCGATGGATGTATTACCCGGGTTCCTCCTTTACGTACGCCACGCTCCGGAAGGCAAAGGGGGGGGGGGGGTATAAGAAAGCGTGATAGAAAGGGGGGAGAGGTAAAGGTGACGTCACACATTAAAATTTTAAAAAATCCTATTATAAAACCTGAAATTGGCAGTGATGGTGAACGTTCTGTTTTGATGGATGTATTCTGACGGAAGGTGACGTCACTTTTACTGTTATGAATTTAATAGTTCGACAGTGAAGCGTTTACTAGAATACATTTGTATTTAATTTTATATTTTTAACATTTTTTAGTTCGAAAGTGTGACGTGCTTTTAAGGGGGCGGGCAGGCCCGAACCTGGGAAATTCTGGGCCCCAGGCAGCTGACAGCGTTCGGGCCCTTTTCGTGCTTCACACATGTGCGTATATTTTAAAACTCGAAAAAGGGCGGGCCCCTATCTAGCTCGGGCCCCTGACAAGTGCCATGGTTGTCTCCTCCCCCCCCCCCCAGGTGCGGGCCTGGGGCGGGGGAAGTCTAAGATTTGTGACAGAGGGAGAGACGGGATAGAAAGTATCCACAGATAGCATGGCGCACTTTATGGACGGCCCCTCCGAACTGATTATTTATTATTATTATTTTTTAAAAATAAATGGTGGTCTCAAGTTGAAACCATCGCCGTTACCTCCATCAGAGCTACAATCCTCCACGACCTTCGTCCCGTTCGGGGTTGTGTAGGTAACTTCCTGACACGCCGCGTACAGTCCCATGTTGGCCTTGACCGGCAACGGTCTGGGGAGCGCCGGGGGCTGGGGCGGCAGCTCGAACTCCTGCTCCAGCCAGTTGGGAGCCGCGAAGCCGATCACGTACAGGACGAAAGCAATGCACGCCAGGCATAAGGTGAATCTACTGAGGAAACTGGTCTGCGGTAACGCCATGGTCAGCACTGAATTGTAGGATGATCGTGTGCACCGGGCGTGATGATGGTCCTGATGATTGGTGAGTGGTTTGTTGAGCTTGTTGCACTGGTTATAAGTTTATAATTATGATGTCACAATGTCACGACTAGCAGAGGCGGGATGGCGTACAGTTTATTCTCCCAAGGATACCAATGGCTTGGTTACGCCGTGAAACGATTTCATGGGCTGCTGACGGTGAATGTGTTGAACGCTGCAGACTTCAAGGTCACCGGAGGCAGCGTTCGAGGTCACCGGAAGCTGGCCGGAAGTGAGTTGGTCTTGATACCTTTTAAAAAAAAAATACTAATACAGACAATACTGATGACAGGTGTGATGCAATGGGGGGACTGGCCGCCCCCTTGTCTTATCTTGGTATCCTTGTTGGCTACTGTGAATAAAACAAAGAATATATTCATCAGATTTAAAAAAAAATGCAACAAAGTTTTCAAATGATAAGTACATGATAGTGAACAAGGGGTTTTAATTTGCTTCATCACAGAAGGACATCTTAAGTCCAAGGTATTAGATCAATTCATAAGCAAATGACAGCTGGACACGTGTACTCAGCGGCGAATGTAGGCCTGTGACAGGGGCGACCACGCCGGGGGGGGGGCTTTTTATGACATACGTATGTATCTGACATTATAAAAGTTGTGTGTGTGTGTGTGGTGCGTGTTAGTGGGGTATATTTTTGAAAGTTATTCCACCAATTGCATTGGCATACGTTTAAGTACTATGTGCATCTGATTGCACACACATATTCTAAGTGACTAATATTTGTTTTTATAATATAGCCTATTATTGTTCGAATGACTGGAATGCCTGCGTTATTTATGTAAAATATTGAATATTGGTATTTAATACTATAAATAACGATAAACAGAATATGTTTTTTTAAAACCTAATTAAAAAAAACAAAAAAACTACACTCGAAACGTAAAGGTTCTTACAATTACTATATGAATGAAGCATAACTCACACACACAAACACACACGAAATCCCCCCCCCCCCAAAAAAAAAAAAAAAAAAAAAAAAAAAAAAAAAAAAAAACGTTTTATATTTTTTTAAGAAAAAAAGAAGAAAAAAAAAAAAATAAAAATAAAATAAATAAATAAATAAATAAAAAAACGTTTTCTATTTTTCTTAGCGAAAGAGAAGAGAAAAAAAAAAAAGAGACAGAATTTACCAGACCACCGTCTCATACGTTCCTGCAGGCTTCAGAGTCGTGGGTAGGTTATGTTTGAAAACATGATGAGCAGCTGAAAGAGTAGCGCTGAGCGGAGAAGCCTACAGTTTAAGGCAAACCCAGTGGGTGGACATAAGTAGTACGTCGATTAGACTTTTGATAGTTATTATATATTTTTTTTTTTGGATTAAAATTTAAAGATTAAACAAAAAATTAACTTGTCCGTGCTTGTTAGAGGTTATCTTTTTTTGAATTTTTGAAATGCCATCGCAATATATGCGATAGATTAATACATTAAAAATAACCTGTTAATAATTAACGAAAATTTGATAACAAAGAATGTGGACCCAAGCTTATCAACATACGCATTAAATATATATTTGCCAGGCTAACGGTTTGTAAGATAACGTTATCAATATTGCAGCCATCAAAAAAAAGAAAGCAACAACCAGTGAAACAACGCAGCCATGTTAGTAGTTTCGAGCACTAAACGCCTATACTATTATTATCTATGGAATATCCAACTCAACATTACCATTGTCTAACGTTCGAAAATTTCAGAACATACTCTCAATCCCAAGTCTTCGACTAAAACCCTTTGGTTATTATCAAGCTGCAGTTCTGTGGCCCGCTAGCTCGCACCCAGCCTACTTTACTACTTCACCGAACTCTTATTTTATCCTCCTTTTCAAACTTTTCAGATAAGGCTCTTCATTCTTCATGTTAAAAATAATATATATTTTAAAAAAAAAATAAAACTTCACGCATGTAGTCATTTTTTATTTGTGTGCGTCTCTCCACCCCCCGCCCCTCTTTTTTTTGCACAAACAACATACACCGTACCACTAATTTGGATGATGTTATTTTCAGTTTCAGCGGCCAAACTAATATTTAGATCTGGCGTGAACCAGTTGAGCATGAGTGTAGATTGTAAACTAAAAAATAATGGAAGTGCCCGCTGTCTACAGCGAGCTGAACATTACAGTTTAGGATGATGATGCAATACAAATTATCATACGACTGGGGGACGGGTCTGGGGCAAAGAGATGTCATCCAAGTATGGTCGGCAAGTACCATTTTTGTTACAGAAAAAAATAAAATAATTCAAGGCCTACTTTTTTTAATTGGAATTAAAAAAACAACAACAACACGTGGCATATATAAGCCGCTGCGATTGGGTGGTGTGGATCGTTCTCGTGATAGAAGTGCTCATCTGGTATTGAGAAAGACGCGTCATAATCTCCGCCAGATAACAATAAAACAAACAGTGACGTCAGCGAGTGAATGATTTTTGAGGCGAATCTGTCGCTGCATACAGTTAGTCAAATAATGCCGTTGTCTGGAGCCGTTAGTGTTCCTGAGCGGTCTCGGCGGACACACACACACATCCCACACAAACAACACCCACACAAACAACACCCACACAAACAACACCCACACAAACAACACACAAACATCACACAAACATCAGAATTATTAGAATTTTTTTACCTAGATATTTTTAACGCGGGGAAAAATACATAACGGGAACATAGAGACTTAGAGCTAACTTGAGGTACCGTACACTGATCAGTTTCAATACCTTAGCTCCAATGTGAACGAATATGGTATTGTCTACCAATGGGACAGAATAGGGTATTGTCTACCAATGGGACAGAATAGGGTATTGTCTTCCAATGGGACAGAATATGGTATCGCCCCCCCCAATTGTGACAGAATATGGTATTGCCCCCCATTGTGACAGAATATGGTATTGCCCCCCCCATTGTGACAGAATAGGGTATCGCCATCCATTGTGACAGAATATGGTATTGTCATTGAAATGACACGTGTGCAGAATCCAAGAAAATCGCTACCGTAGAAGTGGGTCAAATGATGAGAGCAAAGCTTGACCCAGACGTAAAAGAGATAGAGCTACAGACACAAAACCATCGTGAATAAAGATAGAGTTTTTTTGAGAAAATTTTAAAGGAAACAGAGTAAAATTGAATTGAATTATTGATTGAATTATTTAGATATCCAATGGCAGCAACGGTCAAGTATTTTATGTCTTCCCGGTCGACGGCGGATTGATACACTGTGGGCAGTTTGGCTATCAGGTTTCGGACTTCTTTGTCTCCACATGTTGTGCTCCTTGGAGTTGGACACATTAACATCGACCACTCACTGTTCACAAAGTCAGACAATGCTATCGTTGTTGCCCGTCTTAACAAAAGTATTACTCCGGAGTTTTCTGTGTTCAACGAGACCAACTGTTACGGACCCCCACAAACAAACAGCTTACCTTAATGTGTGGTTATGATCATGCGGCTCACAAACTTCTAGCATCGTACGAGAGCCATGTGGCACAACGTTTCGACAAGGCTTGGTCCACTAATTTGTTTTGTTGCAAGATAATCCTGATAGTGGTCCGATTCTAGGGCCTAGTTCACCTATGCATGTGACATGCGCACAAGACAATTTATAACCGCATCCTTTTATTAAACAGAGTTTAAAATTAATTTTATCAGGTTTTTAAAAAAAATTTTTTATTTCGTTTGAAATGTTTTGGCTGGAAACAATGACACAATCCTAATAGTGCAAGATGACCCCCCCCCCCAACCCACCCACGCGTCTGAGCTCATAGATTTGTAAGTGTCAAATTTGCATAAATGGTTGGCTACTCTAAATTTAACGTAAACTTTAAACTTGGAGCAGGAGTGGACTGGGCCGCCGGGACACCAGGAAGATTCCCGCTGGGCCGCTAGGACCGGTGATATAATAAAAATAAAAGTCATGAAGATAGGGCCGCTTTTTGTTTTTTTTCCCGGGCCGCTTTGATTTTTTTCCCGGGCCGCTTGAACTCCCCAGTCCACCCCTGACTTGGAGCAAGTCTGCCAACGCGCATGTGAGAGTAACAATCGTTTGGGAACTTTGAATTTAAAAAAAAAAAATGCTAGAGACTATTTATCCGTTTAACTTGCCGTAATGGAAACCAAATGGATTTCTGGTATTTATAAATTAAAATAAATTGACTTATAAATATATTATAGTTTTTAATTTTTTAAATTCTTTTTTTACGATTAGCAAGCAAATCACCAAAAAAGTTATAATTGTTCGGGAATTTCATTGACGACATTCATCTCGAAATTTTATGTTTCCAGTTTGATGTTGTGGTCTCATTTGGGTCAATGTTTCCAAGAGAGTTAATTACGAATCTCACAAGTAGAGTTTTCATAGCTTCGGACTTGACTTGAACAAAAATGTTGCTTACTGTCTACCGCTCAGACTCCGACCCACAATGACCGACTCGTGGTGTCCTCAATGTCATGTTTAGTACCGGATATAGACCACTAAAACATTGAGCCATCAGCTGTCTACCGCTCAGACTCCGACCCACAATGACCGACTCGTGGTTTCCTCAATGTCATGTTTAGTACCGGATATAGACCACTAAAACATTGAGCCATCAGCTGTCTACCGCTCAGACTCCGACCCACAATGACCGACACCTGGTGTCCTCAGTGTCATGTTTAGTCCCGGATATAGACCACTAAAACATTGAGCCATCAGCTGTCTACCGCTCAGACTCCGACCCACAATGACCGACACCTGGTGTCCTCAATGCCATGTTTAGTACCGGATATAGACCACTAAAACATTGAGCCATCAGCTGTCTACCGCTCAGACTCCGACCCACAATGACCGACACCTGGTGTCCTCAGTGTCATGTTTAGTCCCGGATATAGACCACTAAAACATTGAGCCATCAGCTGTCTACCGCTCAGACTCCGACCCACAATGACCGACACCTGGTGTCCTCAATGCCATGTTTAGTACCGGATATAGACCACTAAAACATTGAGCCATCAGCTGTCTACCGCTCAGACTCCGACCCACAATGACCGACACCTGGTGTCCTCAGTGTCATGTTTAGTCCCGGATATAGACCACTAAAACATTGAGCCATCAGCTGTCTACCACTCAGACTCCGACCCACAATGACCGACACCTGGTGTCCTCAATGTCATGTTTAGTACCGGATATAGACCACTAAAACATTGAGCCATCAGCTGTCTTAACAGCGATGACCATTGTGTTTCGATAACGTTGGTTTCGATAAGCACGCTACGGAGATTGGGCAACGAAATATTTAATGCGTCCTTTGGTTACACAATTATTTTTTTCTTTTAATTTCCAGGATGTCGCCCCTGGCATGACTACACCCCTGGATGTCGCCCCCGGCATGAATACACCCCTGGATGTCGCCCCTGGCATGACTGCACCTTTGAATGTTGCCCCTGGCATAACTACACCTCTGGATGTCGTACCTTGGATAACTACATCACTGATGTCACCCTGGCATAACTGCACCTGTGGATGTCACCCCTGGCATGGCTACACCATTGGATGTCGTACCTTGGATAACTGCATCACTGATGTCACCCTGTCATGACTACACCCCTGGATGTCGTACCTTGAATAACTCCACATCTGGATGTCGTTCCTGGCATAACTACACATCTGGATGTCGCCCCTGGCATAACTCCACATCTGGATGTCGTTCCTGGCATAACTGCACCTCTCGATGTCGGCCCTGGCATAACTGCACCTCTGGATGCCGACCATGGCATGACTCCACCACCGGGTACGACCTTGAGTTCCGAACTGACTATGGGGCTACACGATGAGGCGTCCTTGATACAACAGACGCCTCAAAGGATGCATAGTATGGAAAACAGTTTCCTCGCCTCAAGAAACGGTCATCCACCCCCAACCAAAAAAAGGTACTTTTCAAGGTCGAAGGTAAGAGGACTTTGGCATGTTTCAACAAGAACAAGAGCTATCACTGCCCTCCACAACGTCTCTCACTTCTCATTATCATCTCAACTATCCTCCACCGCACTGAATATGTCATAGGACTGGACCCATCAAGCAATAGTGAACCTACGTTACACAAACGAAGGTCAGCATTCAAAGATTTGGGATACAACCCCCCCCCCCCCCCACACACCGTTTTATTACGGTATTTTATTTTAATACTGTTAATTACCATGTCATGTCATGTACAGGTAAACCATAGATGGCTAAATGATGTAGTAGACTTGTAGAGACAGTAAACCATATTCAGTGTCATGATGTAATAGCCTTGTAGAGACAGTAAACCATATTCAGTGTCATGATGTAATAGCCTTGTAGAGACAGTAAACCATATTCAGTGCTATGATGTGGAAGACATGTAGAGATGGTAAACTATATTCAGTGCTATGATGTGGAAGACATGTAGAGATAGTGAACCATATTCAGTGCTATGATGTAGTA